CACACTCCCGATCCAGCCCCGCCCTGGTTTGACACCCCCGCTCCCCCAGGTGGAACTTTCCTCGCAGGGCGGGAGACCATAGAGGCGAAAAGAACTCCACTGTGGAGTTCTCTGGGGGAGGTGCGGAAGTGACAGATACCCCTTTCCTCCAATGTCAGTTGGAAGAATATAAAGCACTGAACTACATCGACAAAAATAAACATTTTTAAGATGTCGTGACTGTGATTGGTGGCGCGGTTCTCCCCTCTGTCCCTGTAACCTGTCCCCGGACCTCCCAGGACTTCCCCCCATCTCTCTGCCCTCATGGTACACTCCTCCCTGTTTACTCTCTTTGCGCGACCGGCTTGGGTGCGGTTCTTCCGTTGCGCCAGTTCCGTACGCAAGCGGCGTAGGACGGCTTTGATGGACAGGTAGTGCCAGCCAATAGCGAGGCAGCGGTTCCCGGCGGCCAGCCAATGGCGCGGCGGCGCGGCGGGCCGGGGGGGCGGGAGGCGGGGCCAGGCCCCGGCAGGGCAGGGAGGGGGAGCTGTGGAATGGCGGACGGGCGGGCAGGCCCGCCCTGGTGAKAGCCAGCCCGGGGCCCGGAGGGGACAGCCGTGGACAGGGTGAGTGCGAGACGGGCGAGCGGGGCCTCCCCGGGCCCTCCGGGCCTCCTCTTCCTGGGGGACAGAGGCGGAGGCGTTGGGGTGGGCCGCAAGGCCCTTGCCAAATAGGGAGCCGTGAGGGTAGGACGGGCGGTGTTTCCTGCCATATAATGATCCCCGCTGCTGTGGTGGGGCCGGGCGGGCTTTGGGGGTCTCTCCCGGTCTGGGGCTCCATCCCTGCGCTGACACCCTGGCAGTGCGTTCCGGGCCCGGCTCGGTGCGGGCGGTGTGCCCCCGGCCTGGGGGACATTGGGGTGTGGGGGGTCCTGGGTGCTCAGAGAGCCGTGCTGGTGAAGGAAATGTCACCTGCGGGTTTGTCCCCAAGCCTGGCCCGGGACTGTTGTCCTGGAGCTGTCACAGAGCTCTGGCACAGCGGACAGCGCTCGGGGCCTGAGGGAACAAGGGGGTGCTTCAGGGTACCTTTTTGGGGGAGCAGTGGGAGCAGAGGGGTCCCTCTCTCTCCAAGCATTTGGTGCCTGAGTTTGACATTGGGATTGTGAAAAGGTATCTGTGTTCGTGTCCAAAGTGTGTTTGGTTGGAGGCTCAATGGGTGCCYTCATTGAAGGAAACTTCTCCCTCCTGCCTGTCCAGCCCCTCCTGGGTGCACTCCTTGCTCTGTCTGGGAACATTTTAAAGTGTGTGTGTCACCCCCTTTGCTATGAACCATCCATACAGCACAGAAACCTAAAACTCCTYGGTGTGACACCCTGTGGGTGCTGTGGTGTGCTTTGGGAAGTGGTTTTTTCGCCTGAAAAGAAGCTTGGGATATGCAAATGCACTGACCTCCTGGTGGCCTCAGACCGTGTTTCTTTAGAGGAGAAATGAGTTATTAGGGAATGTCCTTGAGGTTGTACCTCATCAGTATTTAGGTTTGTGTTGGAATTACTTTGGGATACAAATAGTCTAGAGAAAGGTAAGGATTGCAGCTTCTCCCTGTTAGCTGTTATTTGACCTCAAGGACCTTCCCGTGGTAAGATTTTTTAATTTCCCTGTTACAGTTTCATATTTGGCATTGTTGTTTTACTTTCTTTAGCAGCAACAACAGCACGGGCACCTCTCCATAGGTCAGAGCGCTGATGGGGCTGAGGGGTGTGCTGATGCCTGGAGTTCAGCACTGGGAAACACTAGAAGTCTTAAATCTTTCAGCACTGCAGATGYTGGTGGACATGAAATTCTACTGATAGTGATTAAAAAGCTTCTGTTAAATACATCAGCTGCAGGCAGAGTCATAATTGATGGAACTCTGTGTAACCCTAACACTTGTGTGTCCTTCCTGAACACTCACGAGAGGGGGAAGTTGAAATTAAAAGATGTTGGAAGCCAAACAAGGGGTGTGGATGTGCTTCCCTGAGATAAAACTGATGCAAAATGTTGCTTTTATAGAGTCATGGAATGGTTTGGATTGGAAGGGATCTCATCCCACCCCTGCCATGRRAAGAGACACCTTCCACAGAGCAGGGAAGTCCCACTCTGGGAAGTCCCAAGTCTTGCACACTCAGTCATGTGAGGAGGGGCAGTAGTTATGTTTTCCACCCATGTCCAACATCTGCCTAATCAGTTGCTGCTAAATACTGCAGGAATTCAAAATGCTGCGTTGCGACACTTTTTGTTCCGATTTGTCCCTTGCTGACCTTGAGTGGGTTTTGCCCAGAGACCGACTCAGAGTTTAATCCTAAACTGAGTGAAACCAGGGCCAGCATGTCCAGAGAGTGACTCTGAATCCCCCTCACATCCAGAGCCAAGCAGGAGCGTTATCCCAGCATGGGATAGAACACACCAGGCACAAAATTCTGAGCACTTCGGGGGTTTTATTTTAAGGAATGTTCTTGAAAACATGAAGTTTGAGTGACAGAGCGTGACCTGAGTTTGCAAGAGCTGCCTGACGCTGATCTTGGCTCAAGCTGCAGTTGTCACTGTTATTCCTGGGTGTGTTGGTGATGGTGGGATCAGACTTTCTGGGATTTGTCTTCTGAAGYCTTGATTTGTGCGTGATTTAGAGCCTGGAGGGGTGGGTTTAGCAGCTCCCTTGTAGCCCACCTGAGGCAAGGTGAAGCCTTGCTGTGCTTTCTAATGTGAATTGTAAGAGGATAAACTTCCAGTATAAACTTTTCCCTAAACTATATCTTTTTCACTGATTTTAAAAAGAACTGACTTTTTTTGTCCTGTCTGGTAATGAGATCAAAAAGTAAATGTCCCAAATTCCATTATTTTTATTTAAAGAAATGAAACCTTTCTGATGGCTCATGCTAGTATAAAACTGGTTTCCCTGTGACTAACATGACACACCACGCAGAAATGGTGTATTTTTGTGAAGGTATTTGCAGACAGTGATTCATGACAAGGAATACAACCCTTCTGATCAGTCCCAACCCAGTTTCTCAGCGTGCTTTGAATAGATCTCATTCTTTAGGGCTGGTCTAGGAAAAGTTGATTTCATTCACCAAGGTTAGATAATCGTGGCATGTGGGTGGAGGGGTTAAAACTTCAGTGATTGCCTCATGCATAAAGTTACACCAACAAATCCCTCTCCTGGGTTTAGTTTTTTATATTTTTGAGGTGATAGAAGAAGAAAGGTTGGTAGGATTAATGTTTTTCAAAAAATTAGTTTTTATTTGACAGCTTGTAATAAAGAAGATTTCAGTTAAGACTTGGCTTTAATCCTTCTAGATAGGTTTTCTCTGTGGGTTTTCTGGACCCAAAATGTTTAATAATTTTAAATGCAAGGTTTTGGGTTTGCCTCTGCTCAGTTAGATAGTACTGAGCCCTTGGTCATTCAGCTGAGCAAAATACGTTGCTCATGAGTCAGTCACAAACCAGGAAAGGGATTGAATAGTGATTGTGTTTGCATGTGCTGTGGATAAAGTTCCTGCTGTCCCCGTACAGAACGGGACACCAGGAAAAAAACACTGCCAAAAGCTCCTTCTGAGGATTCCAACAGCTACAACAGCCCCTATCCGGTGGCTCAGCTCTGCCCTTGCTCCTTTGTGCAGTTTCTACAGCAAATACACAGGAAACAACCCAAAAGTGACACACTGTGAAAACCCAGGAAAGCAAAATGCAGCTATTTTCCCAGACTGTCTTCTGGTGTGTTACTGTTTTCAACAACACACTGGCTGAAATGGGATCTGTAGTAAGAAATTTWTGTATTTGAGTGTTTATTCTCACTGTGCAAGGATAAATATTTGTGAGATCAGGGCCTTAGTTACTGCAGATTAACATTTATTTAAATACTTTAGGTATTTATAAACACAGGATTAAAAAAAGGCGTGTGGCAATGGCTTCTGGGTAATAAGCAAATGACTGCTCAGAACAGAACCACCCTGGTGACATTTACTTCCTTTTGTATTTTTGCAACTCAGKGTAATAAAAAGACATGTTGGTTCCTTTTTGGGGAGGGGAGGCAGATCAGGCTTCTCTGAGAAGGGAGAAGGTGATCAGATTCAGGCCTARTTCTCATTAATATGACATTTCTTTTTGCATCTGAAGGTCTGCAGGATATTTTTTGCCCTGCCTGGGAGGTAGTAGAAGGGGAGGTCCCTTCCCAGAGGAACTGAAATATGAACTKCCACGTTATTTTCTTGAGCAAGCAGTGCTGTTAATCACATTGTCCACTGCAGCTCCTTTCCCGCAGWWATGGGCCTGGGAAATAGTTCCTCTRGATCCTGCCCTAATTCCTGAMATCGCAGGAAAGCTCTTCGGTGTTAGGTTGCTGCTGGAGAAGTGGTGGAGCTCAGATATCTCAAATATTCATCTGCCAGGGGCTTTGATGAAGGAATTTAAAGCACCAGAAAGTTCAATGTGTCTCTTAAAAATGGGTCAGTGGTGACCTGTTCTGCTCTTTCAGTGCTTTCTGTGTCATCTCTTCTTCCAGTGCAACATCCCAGACCCTTTTTGGGGAGAAGTGGTGTTTAGGGGATGCTGTGGTGCTGTCTCTCAGGAGGTGCCTGTGGGCATTGGTTCTTGAGGCCTGAAGTTCTGCCCGGGGCTATTGCTGTGTCACTGCTTCAGGTGAGCTGTTCCCACATCACTGGTGATTGTTTGTGAGGTTTGGAGTTCTCCTGCATTTCTGTTGGAAGCACTTCTCAGCCTAGAATGAGTCAGACACAGAACTGGCCACTAAAAATGGTTTGTGCTTCCTGTTGCTGAGTTATTAGTTTCGTTTATACTGAAAGTGCTCCATAAGACCTGAGAGCTTCTCTTGTGTTTGATCRTGGAWTCCCAGAAYAGTTTTGGTTGGAGCTCTTGCTCTGTGYCTGCCTTGTTCCCATGCTCTTTTCTTGCTGCATCTGAYACTTGSCCATGATGGAGAGAGKACAGGGGTGTCTGGAGAATGGRTGATCCAGCGTGGCTCTTCCAAAGYCCTGTGACTTGTGGTGTTCATTCACTGGTGTTCCAGAGCCACCTGCCTCTTCCGAGCCTCCATTTCTCCCCGCTCGTCAAATTGGGCTAATGACTCTGACCTTTTGTGTGTAAAGCAAAAGGAAAAGGATCAACAAAATACTGGAGCTTATTTACTATCATTATTGAAATGATGAGCAATGCCACTTTGCAACACTTCAAAGAGGCTATGCTCATAAGATGTTGGAAATCCCTTGAGAGAGAAAATGTTTCAGATGGTGAAAGAGGAGGGGRAATATTCCTCACAATCTTCTCTCCTTAGTGTGCTCTTCTGCAAGGCTTGGAGGCAGTGTCCCCCTCCAGGCCTCTCCCCTCCCAGCTGGGCTCTTTAAAATAGTGCTGACAAAATCTTCTGGTTTTGGTAAACACTGAACTCAGTGGTGTCACTGCTCCGAGTTCTGCATAAATTGTTCCCATGCTGTGCAGTTGTGCAAAGTACTCTTGTTGACCTCTGGTATTACCACTAATAAGATTGAATGTGGTTTTAATTTCTCATTTCCTCTTTCTCTCGGTGCCCTTTTCCTACTMCTTAGAGTCTTACTTGAGGTCTCTGTGCAGCAGAA